ACCCCATCCATCCCGCTGCCCGACGATTAATCCGTCACGCTCGAAATTGGATTTTCATTTTGGCATGTCCAGCTTATCGAACTATGATTTTTTTTAGTTTGTTGTATTTGTTTCGGATGTTGAATTGGGATGATTTGTATCGTATGATCATCATGCATGGATTGCATGTTTTGAGGATCTACATTTGGAGTGTGTGGATGTGCCGCAGCCCAACTGAGGGGCCATCCGGAACTGTCTACCCATGGTTCTCGGACACGCCCACGGGCGTATAGGGGGCAGGATCTGCCAAGTCCGACTGTAGTTTCTCTAAAGAAGAGAAAGAGGGCACTCACTATGTTAGAGCATCTATAGCCAGGCGCCTTATACCCGCCTCAAACACTCGAGCGGACAGCCCGGTCACTAACCGGTAAAATGAGCGACCAAGCCGGGCACCTCAAATCGGGCTTAGACGCCCAGGCTAGTCGACACCTTTCATATACAAGCCAAATCTAGGGCAGATACGGGGTGGCCGGGCCCGCCCGGACGTGTCCGCCATGCCGGATCTGACCCATGTTGGCTCACATCGACCCCACATATAGTCGTTCCCGTCCTATTGCTGGACGAAACCCTAACCACTCCACTACAGTCCACTCCCCTCCCCTCCATCGAAAGCTCATTTTCGGCAATCTCCGCCCTTTTTCGGCATGGCGGACAGTGGATGAATCCTCTGTCAGCCAATCTGCGAACTGGACCTTATCCTAGTCGGGCCCGAGGAAGAGATGGTTGTCCACATCACGCACCGCCACTCCCGTGAGGAGAATGCCTGACAATGGTCGGACTCAATCCGCTAGGAATCCATCGCGTACGCCCAAATGGTGTGTGGATCAGGCGCGAGGCACATTGTCGGTGCCTCGCCGATGGCGGTGCGCTCCGTCTGGCATCTGAACGTCATGGTAGACACACATCACCTTCATTGGCGCGCCGACGACGAGGCCATCCATGAGGCTGCGGCAGCCCTTCCGGCGGACGTCAGCAAGGCGGAGTTGCACTGTTTTGTGCCGATACGGGTGGCTGGCAACCCTGGGATCGCAGTCGCGTCGTGGTAAACGTGTCGGCCTCCCTCGAACACAATAGATTAATCGTCGACCTCAATTTGACCGGCGACATAGTTAAACACGTATTCAATAAATGTTGACCTTGTATTAAAAAAATGTTAATGAAGCATTTAAAAATAGTTAAAGAAGTATTTGAAAAATGTTAATCAAGCGTTTGAAAAATGTTTAATGTATATAGGAAAAATGTTGACCATGTATTAAAAAAATGTTAATCTTGCATTTGAAAAATGTTGATCAAACTTTTAAAAAATGTTAAATATGTATAGAAAAACGTTGAACATGTATACAAAATAATGTTCTTTTAGTTCAAACAAAGTTAATCAAATATTTGAAAAAAATTGTTAAACGAGTATTTGCTAAATGTTAATGAAGGGTTTGAAAAATGTTGAATGTGTATAGAAAAAATGTTGACCTTGTATTAAAAAATGTTAATCTTGTATTATTTAAATGTTGATCAAGCATTTGGAAAATGTTAAATGTGTATAAAAAAATGTTGACCATGTATTTGGTAAAAATGTTGAACGAGCATTTGGAAAATCTTCACAAACGCCGCCCATTGAGAATAGACGCCATTGGCAAGATAGTATCCCATGTTGTAGTCTCGGCCATTGACAGTGTAGTTTCATGGCGGTGATTCCCCATTGCAGAGCCTCCTGAACACCGGTGATCGTTGAAAGACATTGAGATCATTGTGAGAATCCGACATTCCAAAGAAAACATGCCAAATTCATAAGTCATGTGATGCCACCATGAAGGCCTTTTTGGTGTGACCTTGATACATTTCACGCAAACCTTTGCGGTCAGCCTTGACGTCTGAGGCCCGTTTAAGGTGCACGACTAGGTCGAAATTTCGTGACCGGTCCGTGACGTGACCAGGCGGCCCGCCTGGGCGTTTGAGCCTGGTTTGGAGGGCTCAGCTGTAGATGCTCTTAGGTTACAACACAAGGCACTGTCCTGGCCACTGGGTACCTTTGTGCTTCGTCCTCCCTCATTGGCGCCGCCACCACACACACAGCGCGTACGCTTCCTCTTGCTCTCACCCCCGAGCCGCCGCCTGCTTGTTCAGCCCCTCGCCTCTCCACTTTCTACGCATCGCCCCACGGGACCGTTAGAGCCTGCACTGCCGCGGCACCGAACGAGTTGGAGCCTACAAACTGCCATTCGGTCGACTAAAAAGAGGACGAGTTGGGGGCATCATTGCTCTTGCTCGTGCCTCATCCAACCATGGCTCTTCGTTTTTTCTGAACCACGCTGTAAGTGCTCCATCTTCCCAGCCGCATCATTTTCCCCTGAAATGTTTTCATGCCCTTGTCCTTTCCGTTCGCAATGTGCCTTCATTACCGTCTCTCATCAGTTGCTCATCTTTGTCTCAGCAAGCACAGATCTGGCATTTGGATTTTGGAGGCAATCACTGAAGAGCCTACGGGTGCTGCCAGCTGGTAGCTGCTAGGGGATTTCACCAGGGATAATATCCTTGGTATTGCATTTGTCAGCGAGGGTTGGTGCCTTATTCAGCTATGCTTCTGGTACTCGGTAAGCATGCAGAGTGGACACATTTTATTCCCTCTGATGTAGGAGTAGAACAGTTTCCCCTGCTTTTCCTACAACAGATTTCACTCTTGTAACTCAAAATCGATGCTATAGGAATTGTTCCTAGCTAAAGGATCCATCCATACATTGGGAGGAGAACCAAGATCGATTCTAATTCTGCCCAGGATGGAGGTGGTAACCGGTGCCATTGGAAGCCTGCTCCCCAAGCTTGGTGAGCTGCTCGTGGGTGAATACAAGCTGCAGAAGGGTGTCAGGAAAGATGTCGAGTCCCTCCAGAGGGAGATGAAGAGCATGAACGCTGCCCTTGTCAAGGTGGCGGAGGTGCCGAGGGACCAGCTGGACAACCAGGTCATCATCTGGGCTGACGAGCTCAGGGAGCTATCATATGACATGGAGGATGTCGTTGACAACTTCCTGGTGTGCGTCGAGGGATCTGAATCCGATGTTGTCACCGACTCAAACAAGCTCAAAGGGCTAATGGCGAAGATGGCCAACTTGTTCACCAAAGGCAAGACTCGGCATCAGATCGCCGATGCCATGAAGGACATCAATAACCGCGCCCAAGAGGTGGCTGACAGGCGTAACAGGTACAGGGTTGATGATGTTGTTGCCAATGCAGCTGGCAAACACAAGGTTGACCCTCGTGTGCTGGCATTGTACAAGGATCAGAAAGAGCTTGTTGGCATTGAAGACGCACGGAATGAGCTAACCAAGAGGCTCACAGATGGTGATGGTGATGGCGATGTTCCTAAGCAGCAACCCAAGATGAAGGTAGTCTCTATTGTTGGACCTGGAGGGCTTGGTAAGACTACACTTGCTAAGGCAGTGTATGATAGGCTTCAAACACAATTTGAATACACAGCTTTTGTTCCGGTGGGTCGAAACCCTGAAGTGAAGAAAGTTCTCAGGGATATCCTCTTGGAACTTGACAAGAGTGAGCGTATTGGTGATGTAGCCACACTGGATGAAAGACAGCTCATCGACAAACTCCGACAACGACTTGAGAATGCAAGGTACGCACCATCCGCCTTAATCAAGTTTGTATTTCAAGAAGTTAGCAAATTGAGTCGGCTAATCATTCACAGTTAAAGAGGTATAAGTTGAAAATATTGTCATGTACTCCCTCCGTCCCAAAATTCTTGTCTTAGATTTATCGAGATACAGATGTATCTAATACTAAAACATGACTTGATACATCCGTATTTGGACAAATCTAAGACAAGAATTTTAGGACGGAGGGAGTAGAACCTAGTGCGTTAGATATTGCATTACATGCTAGGATGAATGTCATCTACGTGGAACTGGCAAAATGCATAAAGAAAGAGCATTCCATTTGACTCTTATCAGTTAGATAGTTGATCTAAACGTCATAAGGGCGTTGAATCCAACAAAGCAACCAGTTAAAAACATGTGGTTCATTTCATTTTGACATCTTCTAAATTTAGATTTGGAGAGCATATACATGTTCTGGTGTACTTTCAGAAAATCAACTAGATTTTACCATGTTTCGAGCTTTAGTGTCGTTTGGGTTTTGAACAACTACCAAACATTCTCACTAGTTTTTACTTCCGAACGGGAATATAAATCTGAGTCATGCTAATAATTCAAAAAATTCAACTACCAAACATATTTAAATTTGAGGGATGCAATTAATAAGAACTGCAGTTTTGATGAAAGAGGTTAGACCAATCAAATCCATGCATGCATTTTCTAGTGGCTTACTCCTTTTCTTTATTGTGCATCCTGTAAATTGAACGATTCCATACGCTTTTTTATTTCTTATTGAGTACATGTTATACATTTTTTCTTCTTGCATATTCTCTAACTGGTTCTATCATGTTGACAGGTACTTAATTGTCATTGATGACATATGGGATTTAGAAGCATGGAAAATTATCAAATGTGCTTTCATTGATAACAATCATGGGAGCCGAGTAATCATAACTACTCGTATTCTCGATGTTGCCACACGGTGATATTTACAAGCTAAAACCCCTTTCTCAACATTTGTCTGAAGAATTATTCTATACAAGATTGTTTGGTGGTAAAGATAAATGCCCTTTTGATCAACCGGCTGAAGTATCAACAAATTTTTTACGGAAGTGCGGAGGTGTGCCATTAGCTATAATTACAGTAGCTAGTTTGTTGGCTGGTAAACCTATGGAGGATTGGGCTAAAGTATTCAACTCTATTGGTTTTGGATCTAGAGATAATAACACGGATGTAGAGAACACGAGGAAGATACTATTATTTAGTTATTATGATCTACCTTATTATCTAAGGTCTTGTCTGCTGCATCTGAGTGTATACCCAGAAGACTGTTTGATCAGGAAAGACAAACTGATATGGCAGTGGGTCGCCGAAGGTTTCGTCAGTGAGGAACCAGGGGTAAGTTTATTTGAGACCGGAGAAAGGTACTTTAATGAACTCTTGAATAGAAACATGATCCAGCCGGTAGAGAATGAAAAGTACACAATATATGCTTGCCGTATTCACGATATGGTGCTGGATATGATTTGTTTATTATCAAAGGAACAAAATTTTGTTACTATATTGGATAGTAACAAGGAGCACGGACCTTCACAATGCAATGCCCGTAGGTTAGCCCTCCAAAAGAGAGTTGTGCCTCTGGCTAACATGAGCATGCCAAAACTGAGATCGTGCTATGCCACCAATTTTAATTCCAATGTGGTGCTGCCACTTTCAAACTTTCAAGTGTTACGTGTTCTAGTGATGGAAAAGTGCAGATTTAATAGAGACCGTCCTTACCCTCTTGAGCATCTTGGGCTGTTACCTCAGTTGAGATACCTGGGACTAGAGAGTACAGATATTAGTAAGCTCCAAGAAGAAATAGGAAATCTAAAGTTTCTGCAGACACTAGACTTGAGGGACACGAATATAAAAGAGCTACCAGAGAGTATTGGTTTACTGAGGAAACTCAAGTGTCTGCGTGCTAACGTTAAAGGTGCTGGTATAACAGTGTCGAATTGGATAGGAAACCTGACATCCTTGGAAGAGCTATATTTGTATACTGCTGACGAGTCTTGTATCTTCGTTAAAGAGCTCAGCAAGCTGACAGAGCTGAGGGTGCTCCACTATAGGTTATCTGCATGTGTGGATGAGTGCTGGTGGAAAACTTTGGTGGATTCTCTATGCAATCTGCGGAAAATACAAGTTGTACGACAGTTTTCTGGGAGGCAGTGGCCAGGATTGTGGTCAGGTGACTACTGGGAAGGCTATGAGCCCCCTCCGCAACTCCAAGATCTGACCATATTTAATGGTTTCAGTAGGCTCCCGGCGTGGATTAATTCCTCGGTCACTCCAAACCTCACCCACGTAGGAGTGTGTTATTTGACGGAGCAAGATGTGGTGACCCTTGGGAGTTTGCCAGAGCTTACTTGCCTTGTACAGATGGAGATTCCGGGGGGCATGGAATTCCCTGATGGCGCATTCCCCAAGTTGAGGGGCTGCAATGTGAGGGGGTCATTCAGGTCTCTGCAAGGAAGTATGCAGAGCCTTGAACACATTTCTATCCAAGTGGAAGTCCGTGCCTTGAAGGCTGCCAGCACTGATTTGGCCTTTATTGGTAGCCTGGGGAACCTCCCTGCGCTTCGGAGAGTGGACTTTCACATCATGTGCCATAATGCATATACCTCTGATATTGAAAAAGTTAAAGGAGCGGTGAGGCAAGCAATCGACACCCATCCCAACAATCCCACCCTTAATCTTTATGAACATGGTGAATGTTACGAGGGAGAAGAATCGGACTCCGAACTTACCGACCAAGAGGTACTACTCCATCCAAACTAGCTAGCTAGCTGGTTTATTTTTCAATTCCGCCCTGAATTCCCTTATTTATTTTGATCATACTATCACTGTCGGTGCACGTCTGCTCAGATAACCAACGACGAGGAGGATCAGGAAGAAGAATCGGACTCCGAGGGGACAGAACAAGAGGTACCTACTTATTACTTCACTCCTAGCTGCTAAGTTTCTTTTCCCATTCCTATGATTTCTTCATTTCAAACTCCCTTCTTTCTTTTGCAGTCTGACGACTCCCACCACGACGATGACAACCATCCTGTCCCTCATCTAATAGAAAGCAGTGTTGACGCCACGGGTACATCTCCTCCAGTGCCAACACGGACGTGGAGGCGGTGGGCGTGCTTGGCTTGCCTGAACTTGGGCAGCAGCAGTTCCGCTGCACCTGCCACAGCAGGTTCACACCAACGTGGAGCTTCAGGAAAGGGGATGACAATGAGGCTGCCCAGCACTGAATGATAGCGTTGCTGTGCTGACTGAAGAATGGTCAGTTAAACTGCAGTACTGCTTTTCTTAAGAATTGTATTAAATTAAAATTGCTTGTTATTCCTGAATGATACTTGGTCTGTAATAATTAGGATAGTATGAAGAGCCAGGTTTTTTGCCCCGTAGTTTGTGCCTATTGTGGTCATGACTCATGGTCAGGCATGGACAGCGGGTTTTCCTGGCATAACGCTGAGTATACTGAAAAGTGGCATATGCCCAATCCTATTTCCCATTTTCCTTGTTAAGACTTCTTCTTCTGTATTATTAAAACTGCATGTTATTCCTGCTATTTGGTTTGTAGTAATATATAGGATAAGTATGGTTCACCAGGTTTTTGCCCTGTTGTTTGTGTCTATCGTCATGATCAGGCATCGACGGCGAGTTTTCATGGCTTTTTTGCTAGAATCCTGTGTTCCATTTTTCTAATCCACTTTACTAAGACTTGTTGTTTCTATTGTGCCCAGTTAATTCTTTTTAGAGATTCCAATAAGGGACTGTATACGGAGCAAAATGAGGGAATCTACACTCTAGAATATGTCTATATACATTTGTATGTAGTTTGTATTGATATCTCTAAAGCGACTTATATTTAGGAACGGAGGGAGTAGTTGTCAGTAACATATTATTGTGTTTGATGGTCTGATTATCAATAAAAAAGGATGTGTGGTGAGAAGCATCTTAAATTTTTTATAGAACCCGTGGCAAAAGCACGGGCGTTTTACTAGTACACATTACATAAAGGAACGGAGGTAGTATATAAGATTATCTTTTCATCTCCCTCTCCACCAATCAGACCGGACAATTTGAGAGACATGACTGCAATAACGCAATGGCGTAAAGACATTACGGATGCACACGTCCAAAAGAAAAGAAGAAGAAGAAGAAGAAGAAGAAGAAGAAGAAGGAAGATCCCGCTACAGTGATCAATTCCTAGTAGCTGCAGCACGAACCACCACCTAGACACACCCGATGTGCAAACTCTCCAAAAGCGATGCCTCTAAGAAGGAAACAGTACACAAGCACCGTCATCGCCCGATCATAGTTCATAGGTTTTCACCCTAGAGAAGATCCGCGCCCTCAAAACATTTCCTTCAACAAAGTCACTGCCAGACACAACCAATTAAGGCCAGGTGTTGAGTTTTCACTCTGAAAGCTATGACATTGTACTCCGCTTGTGTTCTCGCCCCCACTTGCCTATGCTTCTGCTACGCAAATCACCAAGCAAAGTCCTCATTGCCACGAAGACTCGATCCGCCATTACAAGGCCTCAGACCTCAACCACCATGATGTTCTCCAGCATTGTCTTCACCATGAAAATCGAAATATCGACGTGTCTCATAATGTCAACAGCAGCCGAAGCTTCGCATCACACCATTCTGAAGCCACTTGGGCCAAAATAGGGGTGCACACCCATCCGATCCATCAATCTACATGCGTCAAGCATACAATGAAGATCTCCGACGGAGCATTTCGGAACTCGTCAACGGTCAGATCCATCCGGGCCAGCAACCGGCAGAACACCATCTTAGAGCGAAAAGAACCCGAGGACCGCGCGCCGCCGCCCCGGTGCCCATCTCCGCCGGACTAATGATTGGCCGATGCCTAAACGCTCATCAACAATGGCATGTCTCTATCAGCATCGACGCCACATATTGTGTCACCCGAAGGTCGCGCCATCGACCACCCCATCGCGTACCACCAGAGAACCTCCATTGGGCGCGGTATGCACCGCACGTGCGACACCAACAACCATCGGCCGTGCATGATGCCTAGCGGCCACGGGCCATCCCAGATCAAGGCAGAGGAGACCTAGTAATGCTACACTTACGAAAGAAGTTAAAGTAATCTCTACTCCTAATGAACGAGTTGGTGTCGTCTCCACGGTTTATTTTCGCTGGGTTTTTTCGTCTCCTCCCCTCACCCCCTCCCACCCTTGTCCGCCGTTTATTTTCGCTGGGTTTTTTTCGTCTGTCCTCCCACCACCCCCTCCCACCCTGGTCCATCGATTTATTTTTCTCTCCATTCTTTATTACAACCAGAACTTTCCTAACGTATAACAAATCACGGATCAAACTCCCTTAAATTATGCAAATCAATCGATTCGTTTTATTGGTTCAATTTGTCTTAGGAAAAAAATAACATATTTTCAGGAAACAAATAATACATTTTAATCTAACTTCCTTAAATTATGCAAATCAATCGATTCCTTTTATTGGTTCAATCTGTCTTAGGAAACAAATAAAAGATTTTCAGGAAACAAATAATACATTTTAATCTAACTTTCCTAACTTATCTAAATCAATCGATTTCTCTTATTAGTGAAATTTGTTTTAGGAAACAAATAACAGACACGTCATGACTTTCCTTCCAATAAATAGTTTCTTAACATTTGCAAACTTTCCTAATCAGACACGTCACAAACGGGCAGATACTGATATCACGTTACCAAACAATAAAACCCCATTTGCATAGAAATCAGTTCAAAAATTCTAACTTTCCTAAATTTTTACCTTTCCTTGATAACAACCAATATTTCCTATGTTTTCCACCTATTGAAAGAAATCACCCGTCCATCGATATTAACATTTTTTTTGAACTAAGATCTTCGGGTTATGATTTTATTCGCTGTTTTTTTTTCGTCCCTCCTCCCACCACCCCCTCCCACCCTGGTCCATCGGTTTATTTTTCTATCCACTCTTTATTACAACCAGAACTTTCCTAACGTATAACAAATCACGAATCTAACTTCCTTAAATTATGCAAAGCAATCGATTCCTTTTATTGGTTCAATTTGTCTTAGGAAACAAATAACAGATTTTCAGGAAACAAATAATACATTTTAATCTAACTTTCCTAACTTATCTAAATCAATCGATTTCTCTTATTAGTGAAATTTGTTTTAGGAAACAAATAACAGACACGTCACGACTTTCCTTTCAATAAATAGTTTCTTAACATTTGCAAACTTTCCTAATCAGACACATCACAAATGGGCAGGTACTGATATCACGTTACCAAACAATAAAACCCCATTTGCATAGAAATCAGTTCAAAAATCCTAACTTTCCTAAATTTTTGCCTTTCCTTGATAACAACCAATATTTCCTATGTTTACCACCTATTGAAAGAAATCACCCCTCCATCGATATTAGCATTTTTTTGAACTGAGATCTCCAGGTTATGATTTTTTTTTTTTGCGATTCATTCCAATTGTGACCTCTCCTTCCACTCCGGCTCCTTCTCGCATAAACACCTCCACCACAGCCAGGTGACACCGCCCCAGACCTCCTGCCTCTCCACACCTTCTCCGCCACCTCCTTCTTGTACTCCATTAACAATCCCTCCGCCACATTTGTCCACGGCGGAGTCGAGGGCATGGTGCAGTAGCGTACCAGCGGTAGAGCAGTGCATAGCAGCAGGAAGCAGCACGCAGCAGGCGAGGCGAGCGGCCAACGGTGGAGGGCAGAGATGCGGCCGGCGTGGCTGAGGGGGCGGCCGGCAGAAGATGGCCGCGACTGGAGGCGGCGCGAGGCAGGGGCGTGTGCTGGCATTGTACAAGGATCAGAAAGAGCTCATTGGCATTGAAGACACACAGAATGAGCTAACGAAGAGACTCACAGATTGTGATGGTGATGGTGATGGCTATGTTCCCAAGCAGCAGCCCAAGATGAAGGTAGTCTCTATTGTTGGACCTGGAGGGCTTGGCAAGACTACACTTGCTAAGGCAGTGTATGATAGGCTTAGAACACGATTTAAATACACAGCCTTTGTTCCGGTGGGTCGAAATCCTGAGGTGAAGAAAGTTCTTAGGGATATCCTCTTGGAAGTTGACAAGAGAGAGCATATGGGTGATGTAGCTACATTGGATGAAAAACAACTTAATGACAAACTCCGACAACTACTTGAGAATGCAAGGTACACAGCATCCACCTTAATCAATTTATATCTCATGACATTAGTAATTTGAGCTGACTAATCATTCCCAATAAAAGAGGTGTAAGACAAAAATACCATCCATAATATGTCTGTGTAGAACCAAATGTGTCAGATCTAGTGACGTTATGCAGCATTGCATGTTAGATGGATGCCATATGAGTGGAACTGGCAAAGGCATAGACTCCTATTGAATTATTAGCGAGGTGGTGCATCTTAACATCATAAGGGCGTTGAGCGCAACGAAGCAACCAGCTACAAACATGTGTTTCATTTCGTTTTGTCCAGTTCTAAGTTTGGATTTGGTGAGCTTATTCATGTTCTGGTGTACTTTAGAAAATGGACCGTGTTTTCCGGCTTTAATAACTACCAAACATTCTCACAAGTTCAATTTGGAGCTGGAATATAAATCTGAGTTCAATTTAATAGTTCAAAACCTAATTCAATATAAAAAACCTATTTAAATCTGAGGAATGAAATTACTAAGAACTACAGTTTTGATGAAAGAGACTAGATCAATAAAATTCATGTATGCTTTTTCCAGTGGCTTATTCCCTTCTTTTCTTTATTGTACTTGCTGTTGGTTGAACAATTCCATACATATTTATATTCCTTACTAAGGTTGATGCTATGCATTTTAATTTTTTTTAGATGGTTTTACTAGCTAATGCATGGCCCTTGTGTTGTCACGTGGACAGGTACTTAATTGTCATTGATGACATATGGGATTTAGAGGCATGTAAAATTATCAAATGTGCTTTCATTGATAACAATCATGGGAGCCGGGTAATCACAACTACTCGTATCTCGATGTTGCCACAAATACCGGTGATATTTACAAGCTAAAACCCCTTTCTCAACATTTGTCTCAAGAATTATTCTATACAAGATTGTTTGGTGGTAAAGATAAATGCCCTTTTGATCAACCAGCTGAAGTATCAGACAAAATTTTACAGAAATGTGGAGGTGTGCCATTAGCTATAATTACAATAGCTAGTTTGTTGGCAGGTAAACCAATGGAGGATTGGTCTAAAGAATTCAACTCCATTGGTTTTGGATCTGGAGATAGCAACACAGATGTAGAGAACACGAGGAAGATATTATTATTTAGTTATTATGATCTACCTTATTATCTAAGGTCTTGTCTGCTGCATCTGAGTGTATACCCAGAAGACCATTTGATCAGGAAAGACAAACTGATATGGCAGTGGGTCGCCGAAGGTTTCGTCAGTGAGGAACCAGGGGTAAGTTTATTTGAGACCGGTGAAAGGTACTTTAATGAACTTGCAAATAGAAGCATGATTCAGCCGGTAGAGCATCGAGTAACGTACGCAATAGATGCTTGTCGTATTCATGATATGGTGCTGGACATGATTTGTTTATTATGAAAGGAACAAAATTTTGTTACTATATTGAATAGTAACGAGAAGAACATACCTTCACCATGCAATGCCCATAGGTTAGCTGTCCAAAAGAGAGACGTGCCTCTAGCTAACATGGGCATACCAAAACTGAGGTCGTGCTATGCCATCATGTGTAAACCCAATGCATTGCCGTCTGTTTTAAACTTTCAAGTATTACGTGTTCTAGATATGGAAGAGTGCAGCTTTGACAAAGACCTTCCTTACCATCTTGAGCATCTCAGGAGGTTACCTCAGTTGAGATACCTGGGTCTAGAGAGCACACATATTAGTAAGCTCGCAGAAGAAATAGGAGATCTAAAATTTCTGCAGACACTGGACTTGAGGGGCACTTGTATCAGAGAGTTACCACAGAGTATTGGTTTGCTAAGGAAACTCAAGTGTCTGCGTGCTGACGTGGATGGTGTTGGTATAACAGTGTCGAATTGGATAGGGAACCTGACATCCTTGGAAGAGCTAGAGTTGAACGCTGTTGACAAGTCTTGTATCTTCGTCAAAGAGCTCAGCAAGCTGACAGAGTTGAGGGTGCTCATCTATAACTTAAATGAAGATGTGGACGAGTGTTGGAAGAAATTTTTTGTTGAGTCTTTATGCAATCTGCGGAAAATCAAAGTCCTAGGACTATATTTTACCCACACGCAACCAACATCCGAGTTAGATGACTACTGGAAAGGCTATGAGCCCCCTCGGCAACTCCGTGATCTGTACATACAACATGGTTTCAGTAGGGTCCCGGCATGGATTAATTCCTCGCTTCTTCCAAACCTCTCCATCCTAGCCATGAAAGTGGGTGATTTTGTGGAGCAAGATGTGGTGAACTTCGGGAGTTTGCCAGAGCTTACTTTCCTTCGCTACCCGATTCCTGGGGGCATGGAGTTCCCTGATGGTACTTTCCCCAAGTTGAGGAGCTGCAGGGTGCATGCGCCATTCAGGTTTCTGAAGGGAAGTATGCAGAGCCTTGAATCCATTTATACCATAGTGCAAGTGCGTGCCTTGAAGGATGCCGGCACTGATTTAGACTTTATTGGTAGCCTGAGGAACCTCCCTTCTCTTTGGAGAGTGGGAGCTCAGATCGATTGTGATGGTGCCAATGCTTCTGATATTGAAAAGGTGAAGGCAGCGGTGAGGCAAGCAATGGACATCCATCCCAACCGTCCCACCCTTCATCTCTCAACATATGGTCGACCACAGGTACGTATTACTGCATGATTCGTTGTCTATCTGGTGTTTTTTTTTTCAATTCCCTGACAGCTACCAGTGTTGGCGTTTTTCAGACTGATGAAGAAGAATCAGACTCGGAACAGACCAAACAGGAGTTGCTAGCAGCCTCCTCTCTGGATCAAACTACCACTGTTGGTATGTCTACTCAGGTAATCGACGACAACAACGACGAGCAAAAGGTGTGTATTTACTTCACTCATGACCAGTGAGGTTTCTTTCTCTTTTCGGTTCGTGTAACCGGCCCTCTTCATTCAAACTCCCTTCTTTCTTTTGCAGTCCGTCCACAAAGATGAGAACCGTCCCGGACCTCACCTAACAGAAAGCAGCGTTACCATCGCCAGCACATCTCCTCCGGTGCCCGCGCAGCAACAGGCGTGGAGCCGGTGGGCGTGCTTCGCTTGCCTCAACTCAGGCAGCAGCAATTCCGATGCACCTGCCACAGCAGCTTCAAAGCAATGTGGCGGTTCAGGGCAGGGGATGGGTCGTCAGGAAGCAGAGGATGATAATGAGGCTGCTCAGCCCTGAGTGATAACGTTGCTGTGTAAGACTTGTTGCTCTCGTTCCTGCTTGGTTTTGTAATAATAATAGGATATGGCGAGCCAGGTTTTTTGCCCCGTAGTCTGTGTCTATGTTCATGATCAGGACTAGGCATGGACAGCGAGTTTTCCTGGCTTTTTGCTAGAATCGTCTTTTCTAATTTCCTACTTCACTTTGTTAAGACTTGTTGTTTCTATAATGCTAAGTACTGAAAAGTGGCATATGTCCAACCCTATTTCCCATTTTCTTTGTTAAGGCATCGACAAAGAGTTTTCCTGGCTTTTTGCTAGAATCCTGTGTTCCATTTTTCTACTCGACTTTGTTAAGACTTGTTGTTTCTATTGTGCCAAGTGCTGAAAAGTATCCTAACATGACAAGAGGAATTTGTTGTTTCCATTTTCTACGATGCCAAGTAGTGAGATAGTGGGCTATGGTAAATCCAATTTTCCATTATCCTTGTTACTTTGTTAAGACGACTTCTTCTTCCATATTTTGTTAAGACTTGTAGTTTCTTCCCACAGTACAAATACAGTGCACAAGCACACAAAAGCATGAACAATGGACACAGAGGACACTTGAGCTCTCCGTTATCATGCCAAGTGGGAAATGTCAGTTAATATTGCATTCATGGTTCCATTAAGCCCATCCCAGATTCAATCATGAATTCGTCCTACTCAAGCTTTACAACTTCACAAAAGCCAGGCCCTACTAACTCAGATATACTGATGTATTAGGACGGATTCCTATGTTGGCGAAGCTAAAAAAAGGCTTTAAAGATCAAAAAAATTCGCAGATAGTTTCCTTGGATGAATCAGGCCCGAGAAGACTCGCAACAATCTCAGCACAATCTACAGCCAACTAGCAAATAGTACTACATCATGCATGCGAGTCAAGACACGATGCACTGAACAACGGGTCTGCATGATAACCTGGCTTACCGGATTGGGGTTGGGGATGGCGACAGGCGGCGGCCCGCGGTGGCGAGGCAGCGAGCTGTGGCGCGTGGTATGAGGCGCCGCCGGCAGCGACGACTGCTGCTCACCGCGTGGGCCTTGACCTGGGTGTTGTGTGCCGTTCGATGCGAAATCGTATTTCTCATGATGAGAAATAACTGTCCGTTGGTGCCAAGAACAGAGGAGTTGCATTGCGCCACCACCATTGGTGCCTAACTGCCTAAGTAGACGGATCCTGCCCAGTTTTAGTCCTTATTTGAGCAGTCATTCACTGGATAGCAGTTTTCTTTCTGTTCCAGAATAAATGCAAGGGGACGGATAGCACAAATTAAAGCGGTTCTTTTGTTTCATATTCAAAAAATGATTAAAAATTTACTTTTGGCACCATGTCGACAGGACTCAACAAATGCCCAAATGATAAAGTACAGTGGTAAACACACCGCATGCACGACGGATCCTCTTATTTTATTTAGATACAAACATAAGCACAAATCAAATCAAACCAAACCAAACCATACGTCTGATACATAGTCTTCTCCTCACTTGAGAGTCACACACCGAAATAAACAAGCAGGTGCACACACGCATCATCAAGCACCAGTTTATTCTTTGGGAAATTATATAAACACACCGTCGTTTAGGGCCGTATGCATCGTGCTGATGCAGAGGCCGGGGTTTCTCCCCCTTTTCGAGAAAAAAAAATAAACACACCGTCAACTGGGCAAGCCCAACACCTGATTCAACCGTTCCAGCAGCAGAAAATCATCCCATCACCACATCTGCGAATGTGATGATAAAACTAGTTAACGTGAGACGAAAAGAAAAGAAAGATTCGGTAGCACATAGGGGTGATTGGATCCTTGCTATATGTATCATTTTGCGATTCAGATATATGGCACATGCATAGTAAGTGCCGCAGATACATACACATGATTTATACAAGGATGACATGGCATATGATACAGTAAGGTAAACAATAAAAAGGCGAGGGCATGTGTATGCATACCTGAACGGTCATGACAATTCAACGGAGGACCGAGACTCTGGGTAGGGCTTTCTTGTAATACAGCGAGTGATGATGTGTCTCAAAGAGTGACGGGTGGTGCCCGGCCTCCAGACCGTCCCACTCTAGCATGTCCCACAAGTCCTTCTCACAGTCCACAACAGGAAGGCCGGCTCCATGGCGAAGGCCGACAGCTGGGAGGCGCCTAAGGCCCCAAGAACCCCTTATCCTGATCGTCTCAAGCCTGGGAGCAAACATCTTGGCCTCGCATATTTGCTCCAGGCAGTCGAGTTGGTGCAGGTGTATGTGCTTTAGCTTTGGAAAATTCTTCACAGTGTCTTCTTTTCCAGCTTCATAATTCACATCCCATGGGAAGATCTGCCTGAGATTACCGCAGTGGACTATTTGGATGGTCTCTAGGCTGGGTAAGATGAATGACGAGATTGGGAGGACAAACTTGAGCCTTGGGCAGTTGTGCAAGTGTATGCTCCGTAGTTCTCCAAAGACAGATTCTTCCTCAAATGCCCGAGTCATTCCTTTGCTCCAAATGCAGCCAGCTGCTCTGAGATCGGTCACCCAAATGGTCTCCATATCAGCAAAGGAACAACACCACTGGTTTGTGTAAGGGGTGAAAACTTCCTGTAACTTAGGACACCTCTCAACATGGCACCACCTCAAATAAAACATAAGTTTTCTACATGGAAGGACCGAATCTTGCTTGGGGGTAACACCAAGGATGGATGAATTGTCATGGACACGCAAGGAATGAGCCCACCATATCAATTGACGAATAGCTAAGAGTCCCCAAACGGACTCCGCATCAGTGAGATTAATTCCATCACCAATCTCAACGTGGCGGTGTAGGGGTAGAAGCCATGGGACCTCGTAAGCATTAGCTACTCTCTCGAGTACGATGTCATGGTAGCAGCATCTGAAGGGGCTTCGGACTGGCGAAACTACCTGGACATTGCAGGTCTCAATCCCCACAGTATTAACGCTTCTCCCTTCAACATTGATCTCGAAAGACTTACCTAGATTCAAGTATAGGCTATCCGTAATCAAAATCCTAGAACTGACTTCCCACGAACCGAGCACCAAGGATGGAATGAGCCTTGCATCTCTGAGATAAACTTCACCATCATATTTCCTGTTTACAGAACGAATGAATGAAGAATCATGTGGCCTTATAGCGTCCTTTCGTTGACTGCTGACGTGTAGTATTTTCAAGCTTCTATTGACACCCTTCCATAGTATTGCATGGAGGTTCTCACAGCCTATTAGAAAGAGTTGCTCTAGTTTTGGCACCTGCTGTTGGAGAACGTAGCAGAAATTCAAAATTTTCCTACGTGTCACCAAGATCTATCTATGGAGAAACCAGCAACGAGGGGAAGGAGAGTGCATCTACATACCCTTGTAAATCGCTAAGCGGAAGCATTCAAGAGAACGGGGTTGAAGGAGTCATACTCGTCGTGATCCAAATCACCGGAGATCCTAGTGCCGAACGGACGACACCTCCGCGTTCAACACATGTACAGCCCGGTGACGTCTCCCACGCCTTGATCCAGCAAGGTGAGAGGGAGAGGTTGAGGAAGACTCCATCCAGCAGCAGCACAACGGCATGGTGGTGATGGAGGAGCGTGGAAATCCTGCAGGGCTTCACCAAGCACCGCAAGAGACGAGGAGGAAGAGAGGTAGGGCTGCACCAAGAGGGAGAGAAACTCATGTGTTGGGCAGCCCCTAGACCTCAACTATATATAGGGGAAGGGGAGTGGGATGCGCCCCCTCTAGGGTTCCCTCCCCAGGGGTGGCGGCAGCCCCCAGATCCCATCTGGGTGGCGGCCAGAGGGGGAGAGAGGGGAGGCGCACCTGGGGTGGGCCTTAGGGCCCATCTGCCCTAGGGTTTGCCCCCTCCCACTCTTCCCTGCGCCTTGGGCCTTGAGGGGGGGCGCACCAGCCCACCTGGAGCTGGTCCCCTCCCACACTTGGCCCATGCAACCTTCTGGGGCTGGTGGCCCCACCTGGTGGACCCCCAGGACCCTCTCGGTGGTCCCGGTACATTACCGATATCATCCGAAACTTTTCCGGTGATCAAAGCAGGACTTCCCATATATAAATCTTTACCTTCGGACCATTCCGGAACTCCTCGTGACGTCCGGGATCTCATCCGGGACTCCAAACAACATTCGGTAACCACATAGAAACTTCCTTTATAACCCTAGCGCCATCGAACCTTAAGTGTGTAGACCCTACGGGTTCGGGAACCATGCAGACATGACCGAGACGCTCTCCGGTCAATAACCAACAGCGGGATATGGATATCCATGTTGGCTCCCACATGTTCCACGATGATCTCATCGGATGAACCACGATGTCAAGGACTCAATCGATCCCGTATATAATTCCCTTTGTCTAGCGGTATTATACTTGCCCGAGATTCGATCGTCGGTATCCCGATACCTTGTTCAATCTCGTTACCGGCAAGTCTCTTTACTCGTTCCGTAACACATCATCCCGTGATCAACCCCTTGGTCACATTGTGCACATTATGATGATGTCCTACCGAGTGGGCCCAGAGATACCTCTCCGTTCACACGGAGTGACAAATCCCAGTCTCGATTCGTGCCAACCCAACAGACACTTTCGGACATACCTGTAGTGCACCTTTATAGCCACCCAGTTACGTTGTGACGTTTGGTACACCCAAAGCATTCCTACGGTATCCGGGAGTTGCACAATCTCATGGTCTAAGGAAATGATACTTGACATTAGAAAAGCTTTAGCATACGAACTACACGATCTTTGTGCTAGGCTTAGGATTGGGTCTTGTCCATCACATCATTCTGCTAATGATGTGATCCCGTTATCAACGACATCCAATGTCCATGGTCAGGAAACCGTAACCATCTATTAATCAACAAGCTAGTCAACTAGAGGCTTACTAGGGACATGGTGTTGTCTATGTACCCACACATGTATCTGAGTTTCCTATCAATACAATTATAGCATGGATAATAAACGATTATCATGAACAAGGAAATATAATAATAACTAATTTATTATTGCCTCTAGGGCATATTTCCAACAGTCTCTCACTTGCACTAGAGTCAATAATCTAGTTCACATCGCCATGTGATGAACACTCACAGGTCACATCGCCATGTGACCAACATCCAAAGAGTTTACTAGTGTCACTAAACCAGTTCACATCATCATGTGATTAAGACTCAATGAGTTCTGGGGTTTGATCATGTTTTGCTTGTGAGAGAGGTTTTAGTCAACGGATCTGTAACATTCAGATCCGTATGTACTTCGCAAATCTCTAGGTCATATTGTAAATGCTGCTTCCACACTCCACTTGGAGCTATTCCAAATGGTTGCTCCACTATACGTATCCGGTTTGCTACTCAGAGTCATTCGGATAGGTGTTAAAGCTTGCATCGATGTAAACCTTTACACCGAACTCTTTATCACCTCCATAATCGAGAAACATGTCCTTTATTTACTCCAAGGACAATTTTGACCGTTGTCCAATGATCTATTCCTAGAAAGCCTGGGGTGTGTGAGCCAAGCCAAATCATACCACAGGTGACCATGTTCTCTTTGACTGTACCTGATCAATCTCAGAACATCCGATGCTTTGGAAATTTCTGGTGACGTATATACACTTTGCTTGCATCAGTTTTCCTCAACGCAAGTTGTCGAACTCATATGTTTTCTCTAACTCTATGCAAAGACTATAGCAACAGCGGTGCCTCACGGCCCGATAATACAGTTATTCTGAAGAACTATAATCCCTAGATTATAAGGAGCATGCATATGATCTGAGAGAAGTTAGTGGTGAATACATACCTCGGTGATGGACCAGTCGATGACCAAGGAGCTCACCAGGATGTATGTCCTGGTCTGCAAGGTCAGTAGCTTGTGTGCAGTAGCAATAAGAACAGAGAGAGACACCGTGGGAAGCACTTGTCACCTCGGGGAAGCTCCAGAGGATGCCCGATGATGAGGCACGGACTACTCTCTAACTACAGATGCAGCAAACCAGTGAGATCGCATCACCAATATATCTCCATCTAAAAAAACCTCTGTCTTTCAATCTATTAAATAAATGTACACCTAAAATGTGTCATGCGTCATCCTTTATTTTGATGTACCCAATAGAAACCCTGAACACAAGCGACATCAAACAATATGTGCATACCATCAAACTAAGTAAGAGACATCTACAAAATTTAAGAGCTAGAATGGACGGACTTCCCAGAACATAGTTTATGTAACTTGAGAAAAAACTGGTGCCAACAGACAAACAATCACTTCAATTTGATTTTATCAACCCAGGTTCTTTGCAAAATTGCAAAAAAGGGACATTAGATAAAGGAAACTAATGCACCAGAAACTGGAAATTTATGCAATAATTCCAAATCTTTTAATGTGATCAAGTATGACAAGCCTTGGAACAAGGGGGATATTCATAACTCTGACTGCACTAGAGGATAATGCAAGACATATGTATTTTTTCATCAATTGAATGGTAAATTTTAGTAAGCATATGGCCATTTTGTTATAGAAATCACTTTTCGGTAATTGCAGGAACTCAATGGAATATTAAAAACATGTACCTTTCATTGATAAAAGGCAATGTTTCATCAGTCAGAAGACCCTTCTTGAAATTCTTTTCATAGTTTTGAAGTCCTAATTGGTTCAACATATTATTTCAGAATAGTTAATATCTTCATTGTGTGTCTTTGTCTTTGAGAATTTCTGCCAACCTAAAATCGAGATAGATTGACCATAAGAATTAGAACAGTACAACAACCATGGATAAACTGAGGATAGATTGCCCTATCATACTGATATATAACAGTGAAGTTGCAATGCGACGTGAAAGGCTAAAACCTAGAGACATAATTCAAGTGGAACAAAATGGTTTTCATTCGTAGGAAACATGTACAACTATACTGCAAAAGCCATACCAGCTGTAATTGCGTTAACAACTGGATTTGGGGTTCTCATTCCACTTACAATGGAGAATAGAGCGCCAGAAACCAAAGCTGCTGCCATGCTATAGAAAAGAGTGTTGGTCGATCATGTAGTTGAATAAAATACGCAGATTGCAGTTGTATATGTCCTTCAAGTACTGAATGATTGTCATCCTTGTTCCTCTGTCATCAACAGGAAATCTAACAACAACAAAATAACACGACTAAAACAACATTAGAGAGAGAAAGTAACCACCATGCATTAATGCTAAAGGGACACTATAGGGTAAACATGCATATGGGAAATTGCACGGGTACCATTTTACACACTAAAACAGACCATCACTATGTTACAGAAATAAAATGCATGGGCCTCAGGTAGAATGATGTATACAAAGCTATTGACATACCCAATTCCTCACACACCAACACCAACAAACAATCAACAAAGGCCCCAAGTCTATAAGCCACATCTTTCCAGCAAGACAATGGGCTGCTTTGTTGTTCTAGAATATAGAGAGTTGTGATGACGGCTGTACTAATCGGATAGGATTTTAGTCCTAGCGCCCAGGGTTGGCGCCTAGCGTTGGGGATGCCCTAAGGGGATGAAGAACGCACCCAGGAGTTGGTTTTGGGAGGCGAGGAGGGGTTCGTACCTCCTGCCTGCTCAGTCCCCATGGCCAAAGAAGGGCTAGGATTGGGGCTGCT